CGTGACGTGAAATGGCCGTGAGATGTCCTCTACACGTCATTATGTCAGACAAAAGAGCCAAGTGACGATAGTTCACGTAAGAACCGTCAAAAGAGATCACTTGGTTCAATTCACGTTCAACAGCCTTTCGCACAGCCTCGATTCCAAGCACCTAAAAGAAAGCAAGACGTAAGATTAGTTTCATTCTGTCAAGCATGCATGGAACAAGTTATACCCTGTGCCGCATACTTAAGAAGCTTAAATGTGTCATCAAGCTTTGAGTCGGTGTTCAAAATCAGAATGAAAAATTCAAATTTCAAAATTCCTCAGAACTCACAGAATACATTTCACAGATATTATTGGATGTTGTACGCACGGGATCCACGTCTTTTTCACCAAGCACCTATAAATGTGAAAAAAGTACATGATATCTCAAAGACATCACAGAAACACTGAGAGAGAAGAATTAGGATTCTAGCTTTGGGAACATAAAGTGAAGTGTTTTTACTTACCCTCATAAGCGCAACACCGTCAGTTTCCAGGATCCACTCAGATATATGTTTAATCTCTCCGTTCTCTGTGATGGTGACTCGTTTCTTGCTGTCCTCGTGAGGCAGGTTCATGTACACTTTAGAGATAGCTTCGATCCCCTGCAGGGACATATCAGTCAGCATGTTGGCTTCAATACGGCGTAAGAGTACATCGTCATTACTCTTGCCCAGCTGTTCTTCCTCCTGCAAGCATAGGGGCAGTTAAACATTTAGAACATGCAAAACTTTCCCCTACTCTGTACTGATCAAAGGCCAGGTTTTATTTCAGGCCATATATCTACAACACTAACTCCAGAAGTTTCCACGCAGTAGTTTCCTCGCAGTAGTGATTCCTTTTTCACACGAACTTTTCAGCCACATCAACCCTGGCAAGTCAGTTTTATTTAACCAAATGAACAAATTTTTCCGGGCTCTCTAATGTGATAAAGCCACACCGAATGTAAGGAGAACATAAAGAAAGCTTATACATCACTCACCCCCGGCTGTGGTTTATAAGCTTTCCGAGTGCTTCTATGACATAACTAGTTACATGCAAGCTCTATAACTTGATAACTTAAGCATCCGCTTGCAAAATTAATTGACCAATCAGACGATGCGTACTATGCTCATTATGTTACAGTTGTCAAGGGAAACTTGTTCGCTACATACAAGCTCACTAAAATGACACTTGAAAACTTAAAGCGGTAGATTTTCCCTGTCCTCTGTCTTTGTTGAGTCATCATCATCATAACTCGTTGTCAGGACCTTCTCTCTTCCTTAGAGGACCTTGGGAACAAGGTTGCACCAAACTGGTAAAGGAAACCTCATTAAGGGAAAACTTGTCAACGAGAGCTTATTTTTATAAATGTGCGTAAGTTCGAGTATCGCACAAAATTCACTTCAAACATTGTAATGCAAGCTATTAGGAAGTAACTTACGTGTGATAACCTTGCATCGTCGTTGTTCGTCATCCTAATACGGAAGACAAGTTTCTCTGCGTTGTCATCGCTAAAAATGCAAATCAGATCGTCACCAAAAGCCAGATTTATCTTCTCGGAGATCTCTTCCATGGTAAGCTTCTTGTCCCTCATACTTTTACGATCGAGTTCAATACGCAAAAGCCATGGCGAGATCCGAGCCACGTCAAAGTATGGCATCTCATAGTAAACATTTACAAAGTCCTGGTCCTCTGTTACTACTGTGTTCTGGGGGTCTGGGTCGTAATAAATTGCTGTATTGGCTGTGACTTGACGCAAGGTTGTGTTTTCTAAACGGCATAGCACATCCTGTGAAATAAAAAGGGGGGGGGGTACATGTAAGACCGAGTTTAAGGGTAGCACTGATAATTTTCCAAGTAAATACTAACAAATGTAATCTGTTCAGTTTATATGTTAAAAATTGATTGAGAGAAAAGAAACCTCGATACCTTCGCCTTCTCGGCATCTCTGGCAGGTTTTCCCATAAGGAACACCGTCAGGGAAGGATTTTTAGGCTTTTTGGACACGTTGATGATTTCGTTAAGCCGTGGAACACGAAGGGTTAAGTTTTTGGCCAATACGCCGGCATAGTGAAACGTGTTGAGTGTCATCTGAGTAGCAAGTTCACCAAGAGACTGAGCGGCCAAAGCACCAACCATTTCACCAGGTTTAACCTAAAACAGAAGAACAAGGCAACACGTTTTTAGGGAGCTCTGACGAGCTGCAAGAAAGCTGTGAGGAAATGGCACTCTCAAGAAAAAAATACATGCGCTATGACTTTTCCTCAATACACACGTTTACATGTGTTTTCAACAAGAATTTTAGTGGATATTGTATTAATAGATGATTGTATTGTTATACAAGTGGATGAACTTGGCGAAAAATACTCAAACTGGCAACAAAATATCATTCATCGCTGTGTCGGAACGGATATGATAACGTTATCTCACCATGGACAGGTTGAAGCGAGTTTCAATTTCTCCCAGTATCCATTCAAATGCTTCTGACGACAGGTGAAACTCCTCAGCGACTCGCTTGGTACACAGAGTGGAACGGAGGAGGATGTTGAACAACAGAGTGGCATTAAACTGCGCTTCTTTACTAATGTAATCCTCGCCATGAACAACTATTAACTTTTTGGACAACTCACGCACACCTAATGAACCACAATGAAGAACATCACTAAAAAACTACTAGAAAAGTTCATTATGAGAAAAAGACACTGCTTAACTACCTAACTACAGAGTTTCGTCTACAAAATACAGTTATTTGTTAAAATAAATATCGTTATACCTTCAACGACTCTGAGAGGGTGCAAATCACTCGGGTTTCCATTGGTAAGAGGAAAGGTGTTCTGCGCTTTCCAAATCAAACGAGTAAGATTTACTGGTAAAGCCACCTAAAATGAAATAAAAAACAAATAATCGGCCTTCATTACTTGAAGCTTTATCCTTTCAAAAACGTAGTTCATTGTAAAAGATCACAAGATTTCAGTACAGTAGGATGTTCTCTGCACCTTAGAGTCTACTGAGGGAATGATTCTACGAAGAATCTCTCGATCCTTTTGCAGTTGACTGAACTCTGACTCAAGATCCTGAAGAGCTGCAGCACTGCTGCAAAGATCTCGCACTGCATCTTCCTTTAGAAGACGGCCTAGACGCCTAATAAGAAAAAAAATCTTATTTACCGGCAACAATGAATCGTTATGTGCTAAAGTTCAACTGCTTACGACCCTTCCAAGTCATTACTGTGGTGTACTTTCAGAGTAGCTTACATGATTTATCTGCATTGTAGATGTAACAAAGTTAATGCGATTGATCATTAAAGCATGACGGATTAAACTTGGAGTGTTCATCGCGCAGCAAGCATATTTCATTCTAAATATAAATTCGACATACCAAAATCATCTTTTCCGAAGGATGGAACAGCGAGAGGGTGAAACGGTGGCTCAGTTCGAGACAAAATTGCGATATGCTTTGAAAGATTGCGATTACGGTGAACAGGCGGATAATCAAATTCGAAATCGCGTTGTTCAGCGGTGTACGTCTCATGATTTAAGGTAGAAATTGTTAGAGAAAGGTGACGCTTTAATCCTAGAAATTTTACTCAAAACTGTTGCAACACATGAAGCTGTGCATGCTCAGTTTGAGAGTATGAAGAGTAAAGGCATTACTGATGGTGAGGATGACAGTATGCGTTCACTGTAAAGTCAGTGTTACAGCCTGAAAAAGTGGAGGTGCTTGTGGTGGATGTGTTGTGAAAATGGTGACGAATTCAGGAGCAAGCACCAACATTGTAGATAAAGACCTATGGAATGACTTAAAACAGCGGAAGATTGCCAGTGTATCCAAGAACTGTGACAAGAACCTTTACGCGTATTGAAGCAAGGAGCCATTTAAAGTTCTGGCGACCTTTGCAGCGTTGACGAAAGTAGGTGAGAGTGAGGTGTAAGCTGAATTTTTTGTCATTGAAGGTGAAGAAGAAGCACTATTTGGAAGACAAACTGTTGTGCAATAGACCACTTTCATAAATGGCTGCCAGATTAATGTTCTTTTGTTTAAATTTAAATTAGCCCTTCTGGCCTCGCTTGAGATAATGTATTCTTTTGAATTTTGTACTGGAGAACGAGGCCAGAAGGGCTAATTTAAATTTAAACAAAAGAATATTAATCCGGCAGCCATTTATGAAAGTGGTCTCTAAGGCGTGTCAAAATTAGGTACTCCAGTTTATACGGAGTAGTCCAAAGAGTCCACCTTGTCTGATTACAAAGACATATTCGATGGTGTAGGCAAGTTGAAAGACTATAGTGTCAAATTACATCACAGGCGGCCCAAGTGTACCGTGTGTGATTCAGTCACGTAGCGTGGTCATTTTTTCAAGTACGCACAAGTATATGTGATCTAGAAACCTAAGTATACTGAGCGAAAAATGCTGCGTTCTTTAGTTTTTGTTCGAAATAGTTGTGTGAATACAAGCAAAGAACAAAGCGTCTTGCCCTTATTTTGAACAAACTTGGCGCAAACACAACAATGTTTTCAAAATTTTCTAGTCACTTCAATTACGCACGTGCGTATATGCGTATACGACGCTACGCGCCTGTGATTTTAGGGTCTAAAGTTCATTAACGGCAATAACTAACATATTAAGATCGAATTTTAAGCGTATGTGTGGGCCGTTAAAAAAGGAAAAATTATAAATTAAGAAAAAATTTAAAAGGATGATAAAAGAGAGGAATAAAACGTGTGAAGTCTCCTTACCTTTTTTCCGTAGCCGCTTTGTTGCCAACGGTCGTTTTAACGCTGTTTAGGCGACCTTCTCTGTAACGCGTGCGGTGTCAACAGTCAATTGTATAATAGGAAAATTATAAAAAAAAATTAAGAAAAAATTGAAAAGGATAATAAAAGCGAGGAACATATTGTATGAAGTCTCCTTACCTTTTTTCCGTAGTTGCTTTGTCGTTTACGGTCCTTGTAGCGCTACTTTGGCGACTTTCTCAGTAACGCGTGTGGTTCTACCAGTTATTACAGTTGACTGGTGACACCGCATGCGTTACAGAGAAGGTCGCCAAAACAGCGTTAAAACGACGGTTGGCAACAAAGCGGCTACGGAAAAAGGTAAGGAGACTTCACACGTTTTATTCCTCGCTTTTATTATCCTTTTAAATCTTTTCTTAATTCTTTTTTATAACTTTTCCTTTTTTTAACGGCCCACACATACGCTTAAAATGCGATCTTGATATGTTAGTCATTGCCGTTAATGAACTTTACACCCCAAAATCACACACAGTAAGCTTGGGCCACCTGTGGTTACATGTCAATCCTTACGTAACCATTAGTGGCCCGGCTGGTCTGGCGTACTCCATTCAGCCTACGCGACAAGGTGGAAAAGAAAGTTGAGGAACTTGTAAATATAGATATTATCGCGGAGCCGGTCGAGGGCCTGACACCGTGAGTCAGTCCCGTAGTGGTGGTACCGAACCAGATCGATGAAATTAGGTTATGCTCTGACATGCGTAGAGGCAACGAAGCCGTAATCAGAGAACGTTACCCCATGCCTACTGTGAATGAAGTACTCCAAAGCTCAGTCTTTAGTAAGCTTGATTTGAAAAGGGATTATCATCAGCTAGAACTCCATCCAGATTCCCGTAGCATTACTGCCTTCATCATCCACTGTGGATTGTTTAATGCCTAATGTTTGGAATAAGTTCAACCCCCAGACGTGTATCAGCATGTTAATCAGCAAGCTCTTAGTTATCGTGGGGAGTTGCAAACATCTCTGATGTCATAATTGTGCATGGGAAAACTACCAAGGAGCACGATGAGAGATTAAAGCGAGTTTTGGAGAAACCGAGAGAGAAGAACCTGACTTTAAATGAAGAAAAGTGCAAGTTTCACGTGACCAAGCAAGTGTTTATGGGAGTCATGCTAACAAACAAGGACATTGGTCCAACTGAAGAAAAGTGAAAGCTATTGTCGAGGCGAGAGAGAGCCACATGATGCCTTAGAAGTTAGGAGTTTCCTGGGACTTGCAAACTACAATGCACGGTGCATATCAGACTTTGCCACAATAGCTGAACCTTTACGTATATCGACGACGAAAGGTGTCTGTTTCAAGTTTGGACATGAGCAGAGAAAAGTATTTAATGAGCTGAAGAGCAGATTAGCAAGCGCTGATACGCTTGGCTACTTTGAGAAATGCCAGGACACTAATTATAGCAGATGCAAGCCCAGCTGGTCTCGGCGCAGTAATTGTTCAAGAACGACAAAGAAGAAAGAGAGTTCTCAGCTGGTCAGCAAAAGTTTGAGTGAAGAAGAAAAACGGCATTCTCAAGCTGAGAAAGAAGTTTTGGCAGTTGTTTGGGTGTGCGAGCGTTTTCATGCGTACCTGTGCGGCATTGAATTTCACCGATTACAAGCCGTTGGAGACATTATCTTCAAGCAAACCAAATCCGTGCGCGAGAATTGAGCGATAGATTCTACTTACCACACCGTACAGTTTCAAAGTAAAATACCTGCTAGGAGAGCAGATCATTGCAGATTTTCTATCACGCTTACTCCAAGCAGAGAAACAAGTAATTGCTACGGTAGTGCACAAAGAATCAGATGAGTTTGTCAGATTTGTAGCAGTAACTGCCACTCCACACGCGATGGCAACAAGCGAGATTGAAAAAGTGTCGGCAGAAGGTGAAGAATTCAGTGACTTGCGTAACTGTATGACGAGCGCCGGGAATCAGGAGAAGCGACCAGCTTAAGCAGTAGATATCTGTTGTCAATGAACTGTGTTTGATTGGCAAGCTAATCTTCCGTGGTACCAGAATTGTAATACCCAGCAAGTTGAGATCCCGAGTACTTATGTTAACACCCATGAGGGGAAATTCCACGGTATTGTTAGTATGAAGCAGAGGTTGCAATCAAAAGCATGAAGGCCTGGAAAGAAGCAGAAAAAATTTTGCAAACATGTTTCGGTCCATGGCAAGACTTGGCCCTGGACTTGCAAGGTCCTTCACTGTCAGGTGACTCCGTGTTGGTCGTGGTTGACGAATTCAGCAGATATTATGAAATTAAAATAATTGCCTCCACAATATCTCAGAAAATCGTTAAGAGTCTAGAAGGAATCTTCTTGATCCATGCTTTACCATGATTATACATTCTCTTACGTCATACCTACTGACGATAGAATTTATATATGTATAAGTAACGTCATACCTACAGAAAATAGTTTTTTGAGCTCTTGTCTTTACAAGTGCAGCTCAGGAATATGCATGATAACACAATTATTGGATTCGGTTTTCGTATTATAGCGATAATTATGAAGGCCTCAGTTTGTGTCATCCGCCTCGGCCTTCGGCTTCGGCAATACAAACAAAAACTTTGGCCTTGATAACTATCGCTATCATGCTCAACCTCATCCAATAATTGTTAATTATCAGTAACCTGAATGTAGTTTCAGTAAAGCTTAGATGATGTATTTAGATTTACAAAGGTTGATGGGATTGATTATTGCAAGCATGGAGGATTAACATTGGAGTGTGTATCGTGCAGCCTCGATAATCCATTCGAATCGGTGTCAATACTCGATTAAGACACGGCAATTACCAAAGTAAGCTCTTGGCAGTTTCCTTCACTGTTACCACTTTTTCCCTAGTAAGTCAATGCTACTAGAATATTTGTGTTTGGTTCAGAGCCGCTTTAATATGGCTCTTGCGGGCTTATTATTATATATTGCAACCTTTCTATGACTTAATCATTTCAGCACATGGTAAAAAAATGCACAGGAGGGAAACATCCCAACGATCAAAACGGTCACTGTGTTTTGTTATACGACCTATTGTTTTAAAGGTGACTAAATGTTACTCACTTTTTACTGGAGCAATCAAAGTGAAAATTTTTCTCAAAAGATAAATTGGTCGGTTTTATGGTTGGCATATTCTGGAACTCGATTGCTGCGCCATCCATTCCATATTCACCATACCTCAACTGGATCATCTGATTGTTGGAATTTCTGACCGTTCCATCATATGCAACGATTAGACCTTCCATGGCTTTGATCAAACGTCTCTGTATGTAACCTGAAAAAAGGAAATCAAATACTTTTCACATCTGTTAAGACAACTGACTACTAAATCAACAGATAAGTAACATTTTATTACCAGTTTCACTGGTTTTCACAGCAGTATCAATCAATCCCTCACGGCCTCCCATAGCATGGAAGTAGAACTCCGTTGGAGTAAGGCCAGCAATGTACGAGTTTTCCACAAACCCTCTACTCTCAGGACCATAATCATCCTTGGTGAAGTGTGGGAGTGTGCGATGGCGGAATCCAAATGGAATCCGTTTACCTTCAACGTTCTGCTGACCCACCACAGCAATAACCTAGTCATGAAAAATTGTACACAGCTTATTCGTGGCTGAGGCTAAGATGTCATGGTGACTTCATCATCACTGAGGAGATTGCTGCTATCCTTTTTATGTAACTTAACAGTTTACTCCCTAACTTCAGTATTCTTATTCTCCATCCTGTTCTCCGTGTGTTTCAAGGTGCTGATAAATCCTTAAACAATCATGATCGAGCTTCTTCAGTATCATGTTATAATTTCCTTTATTCTTGTGGTGTAAGAGTGATACTATTGGTGGAAATTTGACGCTTATCACTCTTAGGGGTTTAGCGGTTAAACCCCACCTCGGCATCAAATTTACTGACCTGTGAAATGTTGATCTTGGAACCTTTGGAACCAGATACAACCATAGCTTTGAAGTTATTGTATTCTGGCAAGCTCTTCAGAACATTTCCTCCAGTTTTGTCTAGACAGTCATTGAGGATACGATTCATTTGATTCTCAAAAGTCTGTCGTAGTGTGTTACCTGGGGTAGGCTCAAGACCATCATTGTGAGCTTTCTTGATTACTTCCATCACTTCTGCCTGAGGAATTCCAAAATATGCAAAAAGTTTGTTATACAGTGGAATCCCGATTTCTCAAACCTCCAGAGGGAAACGCAAATTGGTTCGAGAAATCGGGAGTTGAGAAATTGGGGGTGGAATTACAAGTAAAGCAAATCCAAGGGAAACAAGGTTTGGTTCGATATATCGGGAGGTTCGAAAAACCGAGGGTTCGAGAAATCGGGATTCCACTGTATGAAGGTCATGATAATGTTTAGAATCTAGATTTGGGGTGTTTACAAATGCACCACCTTCAAACACACTTAGGTCAGACAATTTCACCTAAAACTCACAAGAAACTTAACTCTTATGACCTACATTTAGTTACCTTGACTTTCTTTGTCAATTGCTGAATTTCTTCATAAGTTTCATTATCAGCAATGCAATCACTAATGCTCATGCTGTGTCCTTCAATCAGAGTCCAGTTGTCCACAACAGTCTGGATGTTCCCATAAAACATACATGCAACCTTGGGACCCAATTCTACTGTCACAATGTGGACCAAACTTCCTGGTGAAGTTCCAAGGGATCTTTTGCACAAGATGCCAGAGACCAGCTCACTATGTTCAATAAGAACCTACAAAGATCGTGGACATACATGTATTAAATAATCAACCCTTAAAAATTCAAAGTGTCATTTATACTAAACCTCCCCCTTCACAACACCCATAGAAATGCAGTTGAGGTAAATGTGCCACAAACCATCTTAACCACAACAACCTTGATCTCTATGACCAAATTCTCTAGACTTTGCTACGGATGTTTCAGTGTTTGAGCCCAAAACACCAAATGCACTGTACATAGTTCGCATTTGAGCTGTATGCATGTATTATTGCTAACCCTTGAACAGATGTAAAATTAAAGGAACAGTCAATCATACTGAGTAGAAATAAACAAGTGTGAAAGTTTAATTTTCTGACTTGAAATTATGAAAAAGAACAATTATCAAACCAAATTTACATACAATTGCAGGTCACTGGACAGTGTACATATTCAAAATTTTTGTAAAGATGACATACATACCTTAGTGTCTCCAGGTGAGATATGTCTATATGGTCCACTATCTTCATTGTCTGGATGGGTACTGTGTGTACAGATCATATTCACATTTCCTGGAATAATCATACTGAAGATCTGTTTCCCTGTCCATAGTGCCTGAGGCTTGAGGATGGCTGGCTGGATCAAGCTACCATCCCAATTGGGGATCCACATCATGAGGTTCATCATTGTGTCCTAACCAAAAAAATACCCTTTAACTCCCAAAAGTGATCAACATGAAACTTCTCCCTGTAATATTCTCACATTATCCAGCAAACAGGTAATGAGAATACTCATACTCCTCAGGTAGAAGTAGTTATCTTGATCTAAAACCAAATTCTTGTGAATAATTTACAAGGAAATGTGTAGCAGCTAGAGAGAAGAATTAACAATCAGATCTTTGAAGTTAAAGGGTTAAAACAAGAAGATGTATAAATTTATCGCCTTTGCTTACAGTTGAATGAATCCCTAACAGCTTGAACCTTGCCCAAGCTTAGAGTGATTATTGTGTTACTTCATGTCTTTTTCTGAAGACAAACTTTCGTTACAATGTTTTTCAAGAGGCTTTGAATACCAAGCCCCTTTTACTGATAATAGACCAAAAAAAATTATTATTGCCTTCTAAATAAACCTGGAACAACCAGACAAAATCCTCTGGATATACGAGAAAATTTTCCCTTGTAATTCCACCTCACTGACAAAAACATCAAGGACTCAAGCTGCAGTATGACATCTAGGCTGATAACCAGGTGGTAAAGTTGCACCACAGAGAGGTATATTAATCTCACACACGTATACTCATGACTCAAGCATTCCCAATCTGCAGCTTAGCACTGCTGAGCAATTGCTGGCACCCTTAGCAGTGTTACAAGTCAAGCCTGCAAAAAAATTACATGTTGCCTGCCCCAAGAATAGATCTTATAGGAAGTGTGTCACCATTCTTCACAAACTTACAGGAAGACCATAAATCTATTTAATATTCAAATAATATCCAGAGCTCAAACAGTAATTCAACTATACTCAGCCACCTCATATGAAGCTACACATATTGGTACAGTGGAATCTCAATTTAACAAAGTGTTAAGGGACTGGGGAAATTGGTTCATTATATCGAGGGTTTGTTATATTGAAGCTCTGTGGTGTACATTTTACTGTAACTTTAGCCGGGCTGAAAGTTAAGCACAGTAGAACCTCGATTTAATGAACCTCCATTTGATGAAGTCCTCGCTATAATGAACAATACTTAACATTCAGCCCGCCTAAAGTTACTGTAAGATGTATGCCACAGACCCTCGATATAACAAACCCTTGATATAACAAACCAATATTCCCAGTCTCTTGGCACTTAAATGTTAAATCAAGGTTCCACTGTGTCATTCATTATACCGAGGACTTTGTTATATAGAGGTTCGTTAAATCAAGGCTCTGCTGTATGTTTTAGTTCAGAGAAGAACCTTTTCAAGGAAAACATCTCTTTTCGTGAATCTTCTGACAGCCATCAAAGAATCCTGCACAATTCCCATGACAGGTTTGTTGGACTGTGGTGTAACAATGTTCTTTGGCACCATCATAATCTCAGTGACTTCAGCACGTGCCTCAAGGGACTGAGGTACATGTAAGTTTATCTCGTCACCATCAAAATCAGCATTATATGGTGTGGTAACACTGTTACAAATACAAAGGCAAAGAGATCTTAATAGCAACCACCAAGAATGACTCCTACAGTAACTGTCCTATGTAACTTATGCTAGAGTGGAGCCTCTATTTAATAAAGTGCCAAGGGACCGGGGAAATTGGTTCATTATTTTTAGGGCTTGTTATATTGAAAACCTCGATTTAACAAATTTCCAGAAAAACAACCAAATATTGAGGTATGATTGATAATTGTTTCCCTTGTTTTTGCATGTGTGGTGTGACATTGTGCTTAATGTCTATATGAAGCTACAGTACCCTCTACAGTCATGTCTGTACATTAGCTACAGTACCAGAAACTAAACGGTTCAACAAAATTTTAACAATTGCCACCGGCTTTTCATTAATATGTCATGATAAAAAGGTTAATGAATAGTGCAGTCAAACAGAAACCCTAAACAAAAGAAAACCACTTTACTTTACTTAAAATTGCTTATCACAATATGCCCAGTTGAAAATTCTTCCCATGAAAATTGCCTCATTTTTTGTCATTCTTTACTTTACTACTAAAATTGCTCATCAAGACACTATCATCAAAAAAATTTCTAATTGCCTCATATTTTGTCTTTCATAAAAATGCACCTTTCATTCAAAAGAAAGAGTGCAGAAATTCCCGGCTTTCATTTGAACCTGACTTGTCAATTAAATGTTTTTAAATGAACATGAACAGTGTGTGCAGTATTAAACAACAGAACACCACTGTATAGTACTACATTGTTGGTTTGTTTTGCATTTGTCTTTGCATCGTCAGGTGTTGACATTTGTTTTTTATATCCGGGTATCTGCATACCTTTGGACTTTTGAATTGTGTTTGTTAGAATGGGGATTTTGTTATATTGAGGTTTGTTAAATCTAGGTTCTACTGTAAAATTTGTTATATGTCTTTCATCAATTGCTCTTGTGCATGGTCGACAAAAAGAAAAGCTTTGGGATCGAAGTCTGGGGATTATGACCGCTGAGATCTGTCAATTGGATACTCCGGGAATTATATTAATATATCTTAGTATAATTTCAGAGCTGAGCAAAGAGTTTCCAGCAATCTGATTGGTCGAGCAGTTCCTTATATGATGCTATATAAACCGCTCCACACGGTTTATATAAAATGTTAAAATAAAATGTTAATAAATGTTACTAAAATGATATGATTTTAGAAATGTCTCTGTTGTTCAGCTCTGAAATTACACTGAAACAATTATTTGCCTCAGGTTCGGTGAATATCGTCGAATAATCTCCTCGCCTTTGTCTCTGGGATTATTCGACGATATTCACCTTGCCTTCGGCGAATAATTGTCAATTAGATGTTAATTTTGTTGTGTAGTATCGCTGATTATTATCCAACTACACCTAGACGAGTACAAAGAACGCCATAGACGAGTACAAATATTACGCGGTATTTGTACTCGTCTATTGTAGTACCGTTTAAACAGGTTTTCTCACATCGTGCAAGCGAAGAATTGGATTGTAGTTAATAAAAAAACAAAACAAATGGCGGACAATTTGAATCATATTTCCGACAACGAAGAGTCAGAATGGCTGGTAAATATAGATCTAAATTCATTAGATGAATCAAAGGAAGAAAAACAGCTTGACGACCAGAAAATTTCTTCATTTAATGAAGAAAATAGAAACAGCAGCACAACAACGCGCCAATTCCGTTCCACTTCGGCACAACTCGTAAAAATACTCAGCGATACTAAACAACAAAACGTCTAATAAGATATATGTATTTTTACGAGTTGTGCCGTATGACACGAGCCCGTAGGGCGAGTCAAAATACAAATAACGAGTAAAAATACTCAGTGATACTACACAACAAAATTAACATCTAATAAGTTATTTATTATCCAACACGCCAAACTGTTATTTCAATGCGGGCGAATTTCGCAGATATTTATTTATGAGGAGTGCGTGACAGAAGTATGCGAAGCGGAACGGAATTGGCGCGTTAATAATAATAATATAATATAGATCGATTTCTATAGCGCATTTCCATATAAATGCTCTAATGCGCTTTACAACATTGTGCAGGAGACTTTTTTCCAGACTGCCGACGGCAGTTTACAATTAATAAAGGAGAAATTTTTTACAGATGCCCCCTCCCCCCTTCCCAGTAAATAGGCCAGACCATATCACAGTAATCTCGTGATGTGGGTTCTTTAACGTCCCCTGCCGAAATTAACTAATTGATAGGTGCAGGAGACGGGACCTCCGGCTTTACGTCCTATCCGAGAAGACGAAGCAATGTGAGTGAAGCGTCTTGCTTAAGGACACAACGTCAAGCCCCAGCCAGGACTTGAACCCGGGCCATCTGACCCAGAGTCCAGCGCACTGACCACTGGACTACTCACGCCTCACAAA